GCCGCGCTGGTTGCGCGCTGGTTCCAGGCGCAGGTGCAGCGCTGCCTGGGCGCCGTGCGCTCCCGCCTGCAAGAGCGCTCCCGCGTGCAGCTGGCCGCCGGCGCGCCCTGCCCGCTGGCCCTGCAGGTCGCGCCCCGCTCCGACTACGTCTGCTGCCACCTCTCCCTGGCCGTCCACCTCACCCCGGCCATCCCGCTCGGCGAGGGGCTCTACCTCACGCCCTGGGCCTGCGCCCAGCCTCCCGCGCCCGCCCACCTGGGCACCTTCTGGACCCTCAACGTCTCCAAAGCGGAGCAGCGCTTGCTGGGTTGGCTGCGGGACCAAGTGCCGGAGGACTCCTGCCACCTCAAATGCCTGCAGATCCTCAAAGGGCTGAGGGAGCTGGGGGGGCGCGCCCTGGAGCCCCCCTGGGCTGCCCAGTGGGACCGGGTCCTCTCCTCCTACGTCCTCAAGACGGCACTCTTCTGGGTGCTCCTGAGCAGCCCGTGGCAGGCTTGGGAGGACCGGTTCCTGGTGGCCCGGCTGGAGGACGTGGTCCTGTTCCTGGTCCAGGGCCTGCAGCGAGGGAGGCTGACCCACCTGTTCCTCGGGAACCCCCACCTGCCCGACACGCTGAGCCTCCCCAAATTCCTCAAGGAAGCCTCTCCGGTGAACCTGCTGGCTGACTTTGACCAGCCCACCTTGGACAGGGTGGCCTCTCAGCTGCTGAGTGTCTGGAAGCAAGCGCCCAAGATCATTCGGATGTATGGCAGTCACCGGTCCCGGAGGCAACATCCCATCTGAGGCTCCTTGGCCAGCCTGGACCTCGCATCGTGGAACGGCCACATACTCCCCAAGGCAAATTTCCTCTGGGGCTTTAGGGACCAAAAAGGGGCAGTTGCTTAGCTGAGGTGGAAAATGGTGACTTCCATTCAACAGTTTGGACCTTTGAAGGACCTGCTTGTCTAGGAGCACGAAGACGGTCTGCATCTGACTTCTGGCCTTAGAGGTGGACACACGGGCTATTCTGATCCTATCTATGGTGGAACTCGGGTACTGGTCGGATTTGGGATGTTTTCGCCAGCAGGTTGCTTGAAGGAGGGAGGTGTGGAGGATGGCGGGAGCATCTTCTCGGGGTTAGTTTTTCACCAAAGTTCAAGAGGGCAGGTTGGCGCCCACCACATCCCAGATTGATTCTGCTTCTGAACACTTCTGCTCAGGGTTTATGCCTTCAGCAACAAAAGCAGGCAAATTTTCAAGGTTTCAAGTGCAATTCGTGGTGGGGAAAAGTTGAGGGCTGTACTTACGAAAACTTAGGCTCTTATGATTCATATTCCTTGGTGGGTTTTTTTTCCCCCAGCCAAGTTAGGAATCAGAGTGGGCGTTCGTCACGTGCTTTGGCGTTTTGCCCAGGGCTTTGAAGCAGTCTTGATTTTTCAGTGCAGGACCGAGGGTCAAAGAAGAATGCAAAGATGGGTTGTGGCCCTGAATGCAGCTGCTTATTATGGGCTGGAATAGGAGCACTTACAAGAAAACGCAGTTTCATTATGTTTAGAAGTATACCCGTTGGAAAGCAGTCATCCGCAACATGGGGGACTCCCAGATGTGAGTATTATACTGGCTCAGGATGATGGGAGCTCAGATTCCACACATCAGGAGTACGTCCAGTTGGGGACTTAATACCAATATGTATTCAGAGACCAAAATGAATGGCACTTTATTTTCATGAAAGGCTTTTTTTCCCAATGCCTAGGCTGTACGAAATTTTTTGAAGCATTTGAACATTAATTAAAATAATTATAAATGGAGAAGCTGAGCATACTAATAAGCTGTCTTCTTTAAAAGAGGCTGATCCAAAACACTGCTTCCTTATGTCATCATGTCAATTGCAAAGCAGTAATTACCCTTAACAGCTGTCTTTTAATAAAAGCTGACCTCCAGCGTAACCCAGAAGAATCCAGTTTAGAAAGAAAAGGATTATTCAGACTTCCGTTGTTTGTTATTCCTGTGAATCTCTTGGCACTTGGCCACGTTGACACCTTTCCCAGATAAAAGAACAGGAACTGGAGTCTTAAATCCTTCCTATGCGCAGGGACATATTGAAGATGTAAGGATGTGAAATGGTTCAGTACGTGAGTGTTTTCTGGCACTGCAAGTCCCATTTAGTTCAGTTAATGTGCCAAGAATCAGAACTGTAAACGCTATTTTACTGTCTCATGAGCAACCTGCAGGCTGCAAATTCAGACATCCAAAATGCATATTAAAAAATCCCAGCACTGTTTGTGAAATGCCATTGCTTAACTGCCAAATGCTAAAAACCACCCCTCTCTCCTGTGTGTGGCTGGAAAAAAATTAACCCTCCCCCCCCCCCCC